TGACGACATATGAGAAGTAAGACAAGGTAATTTATGTTCGAGTCGTTTTTCGGTCTTGCAGTAATCCTCTTTCTTTTGGAATGACAGTCGTGATAGGCGATGCCACTCGAACTGCATAAGTTTTCCGCAATCGTCTTCTGTCCGTTCTATAGGCTTTGCAAGTAGCAGCGACGACACTCGGTAGGGGAGGATGTAAAGGGCTCAGTGGTCAATCGAAGTCAGAAGCAGTGCTCTGTGCGTTGAGAGTTTGAATTGCTTCTTTTTTCGCTGTATCTTGATGCCTCGTAAGTTGACTTCTCAATAACGTACCATTGTTTTCATTGGAATTTAATGTGAAGAGTAGTTACTATTCACGTCAATCTGTGCACGTCCTGCCGTTGAGGCAAAAATTATACACTCTCTTCCAGTACTCTCCCTTCGAGATTCCTTCTGATGCGACCCTCCATCTCACCTTTCATCTTGCTAAAATTTTCCAGCTCCCTAGCACTGGAGTTTTCCTGGAATTTCCTGCACTTTGTCGCAAAAAGCTGCCGCCGATGAGTTGGAGGCGGCATATACCATTTTCACTTTTGATTCACCACTTTTCAAACCAAATTCACCACTTTTCAAACCAAATTCACCACTTTTCAAACCAAATTCACCACTTTTCAAACCAAATTCACCACTTTTCAAACCAAATTCACCACTTTTCAAACCAAATTCACCACTTTTCAAACCAAATTCACCACTTTTCAAATCAAATTCACCACTCTTTTTAGACCGGGCAGTTCACCAACCAGAATCACGCCAGACACCACTGCGAACCCTGCCCCGACGGTCACGCCTACTTGTCAGCGCGGACATAGATTTTCAATGCACAACAAAGATACTCGTACCCGCGCATTCATGCACCGGCAATTCAGGCTCCGCCCCTTGGCCACGCCCACTTGCTTTTTGCGGAATTTTGATATTTTTCAAAATTTTTGCATTTTTGCACTGCTCCGTGAAGCGCACTGCACTGCGCCGTGAGAGGCTCCGCCCACTTTGAAGAAGCCCCGCCCACTTTTCAAAATGGTGCAAATCGGCAGTATAGAGCCTTGGCTTGCATGCTAGGGTCTCGTCCGTCACTCGGAACAAATAAATCAGGCAAAGTTTGTTCCGAATGACCAGCAATACCCTTGCCATGCAAGCCAAGGCTCTATACTGCCGATTTGCACCATTTTCGAAAAGTGGGCGGGCTTCTCCAAAGTGGGCGGAGCCTCCCACAGTGGGCGGGGCTTCATGGAGCAGTCCAAAAATGCAAAATTTTGAAAAAATATCAAAATTCCGCAAAAAGCAAGTGGGCGGGCCAAGGGGGCGGATTCTGAATTGCCGGTGCAAGTGCGCTGTTACGGGTATCTTCGTTGTGGATGTGAAAAAAAGAGTGGATGTGAAATTGAAAAGTTGAAAAAGTTATGAAATTTCAAAGTTTGCAGCAATCCCTCTGAAGAATGACGAGAAATGCCTTCGTGGTCCACTACATAGCCGCAGTGGGTGTAGATTCGGCGGCACGGGGTAGGGAAAAAGGCCTACCGCGGCTATGCAGTGGACCACGAAGAATGTTTAGTTCATTTCGTTGCTTCACTAGCGGTTTACAAGTCTCACTCTGGTGAAACCTGTGAACTCTTGTGAAGCTGGAGCAAGCTCGTCAAGCCATCATGGTAAAACCTGTCAACTCGAGAAGATGGGTCGACACGTCGATAGGAAGCAGCGAAAGTGCAGTCCCCCCACCCCTCCGCCTCCGTCGCCGAACAGCGCTGAGAAGTTGCTGCCCCTCTTCCTACAGCGAACAAATAAGGCGCTCCTTGCTGGAGATCCCGACCTACGACGTGCCTTGGCAGCCGTAGAGCAAGTGACCCAGAAATGAATGTTCAGAAACCACTAGATGATGAGCAAGGTGGAACTTGGTAAGAGTTTGCCCCAGTGTTCTGCACATTTTTGGGCATAGGAATGAGCCATATGGTGTCGATGTCATGGCCGTTTGTCGAATGCCGAAGTCAGCGGAACAACGCCAGTACTAAACCGTGTCTATGCAAACCCAGGTGCTTTTTCTGACACTTTGGGAACGAGATCCTTAGAACGAATTGGCTTTGTCCAAATGCAAAACGTAACAAAAAAAGTCGGCGTCTGCAACAGATTGAGTACGCGATTTTTACAGAGCTCTTCGTAGCGAGGAATGAATTGCCGTATATGAAGGTGAGATCCATGTGACGGCCCCAGGAAGTAGTGGAGAGAGGTCATCGCCTTCCAGAGAATAGCAAACGTCTTCCGATGACGGTAATTCCAGTTTTTCCACAAGGAATCCCTAAACTGTACCCTCAACGGCAAGCTCTGCGTTCATGTTCGATGTTCTGGCCAATACTAAAGGACACGATACGTCGCCTGGCTCACAAACCCCTCCATCGAATCCATTTCACTAGTTAGAAATCGTGCATCTTGAGCACGACCTGTTTGCGCGGGGGCACTGCCCCCGCCCACTGGCCACGGCTATGCCCATCCTTAACTCCTCCGCGTGTCCCGCTGACGCGGTTGTTCTGCTACTAGCTGTCTCCATTTCGAATGATGAGAGTGAGGCGGTAAGGAGATCATGGTAGATTCTTCCTAACTTTTTCATACCAACAACAGAATGCCATTTCTGCTTCGTTGAAATCAGGACGCCTTTCGCAATGTGAAGAGGGAATGTTTCGTGAATTTCCTTCATCTACTGTACAGCAAAAACATCATTACCTAGGAAAATCTGATTGATAAGTTTGCTGCAATTTTTGTCGTCCAGTTTCCACCAAACCGTTTGCTGCTCGTAATTCTATCAGTTGCCAGTTCAGAAGACATGAGGCAACCCTTTCACCACTGATTGCGAAATTCAAAGAGTTGTTGTCAAAATAGTTCTCCAACTGCCGTCAGGGTTTTTAAGAAAACATCCTTTCACTCGCGTTCCTGCTCTTCCTTTAGAGAAGCACTTTGAAGGATTTTGAGGGGAGCTCCCTCACAACGCTGTTAGGCTCGGGCAGAACAAAGGTAGGGAGGGAGGGGAAGGTTATTCCCGTTACTTGATTCTGCTAGATCATGTCAACCGATAGGCATCGAGCTGGTTGCTTCTGAACTCTTGTGAAGACGATGAGGATAAATGACCTTTTAGACTACAGAATCTAGCTTCGCTCAGTACCATTTGGTGCCCACACCAAACCGAATTGCACCTTCTGTGACTTGTTCCTATCACCAGGGGCTTGTAGTAACGCCCAGCACTCGAGAAATCCTTTTATATCGTAGAAATGTGTTAAATTGGCTTGCTCGAGATTTGAAGCGTAAAAGACGGTGTCTCATCAATCAGGAGAAGCGACTGCCCTGCTTTGTTAACAGTCATGACTTTGAAGCAGGCCCCGCGTTCATTTGACGTCTAGGTGCCTTATTCGACCACTTGTTTGCTTGAAGAGGTCCAATATACGACATTTGTAGCGCGAAAATACGTGAGCAGAGCGATAAGCTGGCGCCGAGGTCACGTCTCCGTCCACTGACCACGCCTGTCTTTATTTTGACTGCTCTTTCATTTCTTTACTGCTATCTGATGGCGCACTTATTCCGCTGCTAACTCACTCAGTTTAGAAGGTGAGAATGGGGTCATGAAAGATCTGACGCCAAAAAGAGAAGGCGTCCGACCACGCCCATTCTTTGCCTTACGCACTTGGCGCAGCTCACGATAGGGTTCTATACGGGCATTTTGGACATGGGCATAGGCTATGTGGACTTATGGGCTTCTTTTTTCTCCGACCGACAGACACCTACACTGTTGGCAGCAACTACACCGTCAACTTGTGAGGAACAGGCTTTACGATAAGCAGTGCCTGTCAGAGAATTGTGTTACATGTCCTAATGGCAAGATTGGCGATTGTGCCTCAGCGGGCGTCATTTATCAGATTGAATGTAGGACATGTAATTCAACATACATTGGGGAAACAGAAAGGTTTATCAGTCCGTATCAAGGAACATCTATCTGGTAAAAGGCGCAATAACGTGTCAACACCGTTGGGGAGGCATAGAATAGAGCAGCATGATGGCGAAGATTTCAACATCAAGTGCACGTTTTTAGCCTTTTGGATTTCAGCACGAAATCCAAGCATGAACAAAACGAGTGTGTATCCATTACGAATGATCTACTACCGTTCATGGAACATTGCGAATTGCATACATGATAAGCGAACACGTGCGTCCTGATAAAGGAGAGTAACACTCATTCGCTCATTAACTTACTAACCTACTAACTACTAACCGAGCGTAGCTTTGCTACACTCTTGTAATGGAACACGGTGAGCTTATTTTTCAACTTTTGGGTATTTTTGCACAATCCTGAGATGACGTCAGAAATGCTAGGGGGGGGGATAAGGCGTTTGGTTGACGGGGACGAACAGGTCGAAACGTTGGCCGAATAAAAATTCATATCTACAAAGCTTGTTGGCAAAAACAGATGTACAGAACTTCTTTTTCTGTTTCTTTTTGTCTTCTCTGCTTTTTTTCTGCTTTGGTGTTTCTCGCCATAATGTCATTAGTAGACGAGCAGCACAAGTTCACCATTTACAAATATGGTGCGCGCTTTGAGTGGCATAATATGAGATTTGCGCAGGCTCAGTACAATTCAGTGAATCAATAAGTTACATTGAGCTTTATGGACTTTTTTCAAAAATGCTTAATTTGATCCACCTGCCACTCCAGTTTGAGCATTTGAATACCAGTGAAACTGAAACCTAAGAAAAACTAAGGAGCTGAAACTCAGGAGCAAAATTTTCCAACTTTCGCGCAATTTTTTCGAGTGACAAAAATAAAAAAAGGAAAAAGATAAACAAAGACATTGCTTATGGGCCAACCCAGTACATCGTAGCAAAGCCCGTCTCCCTTCTCTACGTTACTTAGCTTCACAGTGCTTTCTTGAAACGGTTCAGGTGTTTAAATTTGTACAGCAGACCCATTTTGAGTTATCATCTTCGTTCAAGATGGTAGCAGAGGACATCATCTCTCAGAGGTACGATGATATCGTCAAGAGCCCGTCAGATCAGAGAGAGGTTCGTATTTTTCTCATTCAGATTTTTATAGATTCAGGAACAGCGGTGACCTAGCCACTTTTTTCTGTGAACCCGGTGGTAGATCCGTGCCCCGTTTTGGCACTCCTTTGCTTTTCTGTGCTGGCCAGATCGCGACAAAGAGAGGTGGCACGGCTTGTATTATCGGGATGGTGTAATCGGGGAGCTAGTGCGCAACCCAGCAGTTGGTACCGCACGCAGGCTCCAAAGAACAAGTCTATGCTTGGAAGCTCCTTTCTCGCCCGGAACATATACTTCATATCAGGTCCGTCTGGAAGGTAGAATTTACAAAATTCCGCATCCGCAACAGCGGTGCGCACCGCTGTTTTCTCCAGGGGGAAGGGTGGGGACTAGGGGGACTGCAGGCGTACTGGCACTATTCTACCCATACCGATGCTGCACCCTAGCTGTAGAAGGGTTTCATCTCATATATTGGGCCATGGTTTTTCCCAAGGCCAAGCAAGCATTGCGTGTCTCCTGTGGAACTAAAACTAAAAGGATGAAGGAGGCATGCTTATAGAGATAGGGACGCTGAATCGAAATTTGGCTCGCTTTTCTTGTATTCCACTATCGACCTTTTACCCATTATCCATTCCGGAGTGCAGATCACACTGATCTCGCAAGTGAGGCCAGGTACATTTCAAAATCTTTCTCATTGCGCTCTCTTGCCTCGTACGGTGGTAAAACTGTGAGAGCGCTAACGAAGAAACTGAGACGGTGGGCGTGGCTCCGCCAATCTTTGGGAGTCCCTCTTCACCTGTATTTATCAGCGTGATTCTGGCCAAATGTAAAGAATTCGCTGTCTTGCAGTATCGGGGACTTGAACTCACAAATGGCCTCCGGGTACTACTGGTATCGGATCCCACTACAGATAAATCTGCCGCTGCAATGGATGTTAATGTCGGTGGGCCACTATTACTTAACATTCAATGGAATGCACTGCTTTTTGATATTGAAGAAACACTTTCA